TCTGGGACGTGCCGTTCATCGTCCACCTGTGGCCTTACTCCCAAGTCGGCCCCTGTTCTTTAGCTGTTCCCTTCGTCTGGCAACTCTGCGCTTGCGCACACTGGGAACAAGCTCCAGCTGTTCGACTGCCTCACTGATGTCTGACTCTGAAGGCAGCTGACAACTGGCATATGGCTCTGGCCCCCTCTTTGCCTCCGACACAGAGCCCTCATCAGAGCCTTCCCCAGACTCCAGGACTGGCCCATGTTCTTCCCCAACCTCCTCACAAATCTGCTGGCAGCCCCGCTGGCGGGCCGCAACACAGGGTAAGGTTTTCCCCTCATGTCATCACTCTGCTGAATACCTAATTCTCACAGTGAAGTCTAGTGTTTATGTACATTTACCTATGTTGTATGGCTCATCATCATCATCATCTTTATTTTCTTCACTACCTGCTCTTATTTGTATTATGATTATTATTACTCAGTTGTTTTGCATGTACACTGAGAGTTTCTGCACTGGAGAAAAATTACTTTTGTATCTAATCACACTTCTGTTATTGCTACTGCTGTTCTGTTCTATCCTAATGCAATTGACCGAAATAGATTAGTGTGCTTGAATGGAACAAGGGGGGGAAAAAACTTGGATCAAAAGCTAGGATCAGAAAAAATTTGTATCCCACATTTCTCATTCACAAAAAAAACAAAAACCCTCTTGTGAGTCTGTAAGACTAGGATTTCTAATTTTAAATTTAATATCACTGTCTTAATTAGTATAGTGCAGCAGTAGAGGTACTGGACTAAGAGAGAGATAATCAGGTTTGAGGGTCTCCTTAGGTATGGAAATCAATTTGGTGATTTTGGGTCAGGCAGTTTCTCCCAGCCCTAGACTAGGAAGTTGAAAAACATCTTATCTACCAACTTGCACTGGATCAGCATAGTAAATAATGATATCTAGTCTTTAACTTATCAATTTATTTTTGACTGGCATTGACAGCCACCCAATTCAGAACAAACGAATGAAGAATTCTACAGTGGATTGATTCAGGTTGATGATAATTATATATACTAATTATGGAGGAATAGCCATAGTTGACTAACAGTCAACACATTGTATGCGAATCCTCTCATTTCTACCAATGGGATGTTAAGCGTGCATCTTCTCAGTCATATTCAGAAGCTGCACAAAGTAAATTTCCAGAAGTGATTTGCTTCTTTGGCAATTTGTTTCATTCACAACTACAGATATGACAGTGAACCGAACTGCACTCAAAACAATCAATTATCAGATTTACACTGTGTGTGGTAGAGAATGAATTAAAGGTGAACATGGTGGTGATTGGCACCCTTCTCTTCTCACCAACTTCCTGCTTGAGAGAGAGCAAGGGGTCAGAGAATAAGCAGACCATATCTATAGTCCTTAGACCAGTGTTTCTCAACCTTGGCAACTTGAAGATGTCCGAACTTCAACTCCCAGAATTCCCCAGCCAGAATTCTGGGAGTTGAAGTCCAGACATCTTCAAGTTGCCAAGGTTGAGAAACACTGCCTTAGACCTATGGGGGTGTTCACCATCACCTGGGCAGATATGCTACACCTAAAGAGCATGCATTTCAGGCATCCACATGGGGGAGTCTTCTGAGGGAGAATGGCTAAATGCTGAATGCATGAGTGGTTATAAACTGATTTAGAGGGGGAGTCTTCTGAGGGAGAATGGCTAAATGCTGAATGCATGAGTGGTTATAAACTGATTTAGAGGGGACAGG